CCCCCCCCCCCCCCCCCCACTTCCGATGTACATCATGGGAGGCCGGGACGACTTTCAGAACTTTGGTGATGTCTGGACCGGAGACCAAGAAGGCGGTTCTTGAGTCCCAAGAAAGGAACTTGGGGTACTATAAGGGCCTTAAGAGTTATAGGGTTTGGGGTATATTATACTGTAGTTATAAGGAGGAACCCCCAAAACCCTATTCTAATTATTAAGGCCCCTGAATATTTTGTTTTATGAACCAAGACAAAGCTCGCAACATACGGCTGGTTGACAAACTCCTGCTGCACCCATAACTAGGAATACATACCATTTTTCCGAACAGGTGGGGTTCTAAAGGTGGTGGAAGGTTTTGTCCATCAGCAGCGGGAGTTCTAGATACTGGACACAATGTGTAAAGAAGCATCCCTAAACCGTATAAACCCCTAAACCCTAAACCCTAACCCCTAAACCCTAAACCCTCATAAAAGACGTAGGGATCCTGTGCAGGCAATTGGCGCCGCCTCGTTGACACCGGACCGTTTCGACCACGGCACGGGCATGCGCTGCTGTGCACAAGGCCTCGACAAGCCGACTGTCGGGACCCGGTTAATGTTTGGATAGGGTTTAGGGTTTAGGGCTTAGGGTTTAGGGGTTTAGGGTTCAGATTTTAGGGTTTAGGGTTTCAATAATTAGAATAGGGTTTTTTGGGGCTCCTTGTTATAATTATAGTATAACATACCCCAAACCCTATTCTAACCATTCAGGACCCCTATATTCAGAAGTTGTTGCCTCTTGCTTGCCTGGGTCCGGAAGATGCTTGGGTTCCCTGTAGAAGGAAGTGTGGGTGGACCCTAAACCCTAAAACCCTAAAACCCTAAAACCCTAAACCTTAAAACCCTAAAACCCTAAACCCTAAACCCTAAAACCCCTAAAGCCCTAAACCCTAAACCCTAAACCCTACAGAGCTCCTCCGTTGCTTGAAGCCGCAAGTCTGAACTCGCAGGCCCTCTCACGATCGGAGGCCCTGGCCCTAGAGAAGATCCCATAGCCCCTAAGGTTTTGCGGTTTAGGGATTTAGGGCTTAGGGCTTAGGGCTTAGGGCTTAGTGCATTGCAGTCCCTGCTCAAAAAAGGGATTTAGGCTTAGCTGCCCTTAATTTCAGGGGTCGGGGGGGAGAGTTCTGAAAAGCAGGGAGCGGGGCGTCCATCCCAGTGGCGGCGACAAGATGGCTCCAGGGTTTCTTTTTGCATAGGGAATTGGGGCTTCGGGCTTAGGGCTTAGGTTTTAGAGCTTCGGGTGTAGGCTTGAGGCTTTAATCACCTCAGGTTTAGGGCTTAGGTTTTAGAGCTCAGGGTTTAGGCTTGAGGCTTTAATAGTCTAAGGTTTAGGGCTTAGGTTGTTGAGCTTCGGGTTTAGGCTTGAAGGTTTGAGAATCAAGGCTTAGGGCTTACGGTTTGTAGTTTAGGGTTCAGGGTAGGGTCGACCCTATCTTGCGCACAGCCTCATGTCCCACTGCCGGTTTGGAGCCTGTCAGTTGGTACGGGCTTTGGGCTCAGGGTTAGGATGTACCTATAGTCTCCATTGTAGTTCCTGTTTAGGGGATGCCTTATAAAATCCTTAATATATAATCTGCTAAACCAGAAAACGGAACTACAATGGAGACTAGAGGGAGAATTTAGGGGTTGCTCTTCTTGCAGGCGCTCCGCTCGAAGGTTGGAAGCTAACAAAAGAAAGCCTGCAACCCACAACGAAGGGCTCCATTGAAGCAGCCTTGCCCCAACCCCAACATCGAGGCATCTCCTCGACCATGGTGTGCTTCGGAGGTGCCCTAGGGTAGGGTTTTAGAAGGGTTGAGGGTTCAGGGTAACAGCTACCTATCAGCAAAGGGCGGTCGGGCTCTTCTTGGGCTTAGAATTTCAATCCCAACATCTATAAGACTTGCCGGCTCCTATGGGGCTTATAGGATATTTACGCCTCAAGCTCTGTAGGGCTTTGATAGTTCGTGCCTCGTTGGCTTTAGGGTTTCTTATTCGAACCGACGCTTGCGGTGCCATGGACGAAATCGAGAAGCTGACAGAGCTCAAGGTGACGTCGAACCTCGCTGTCATGAGCGGCTCGAGGGTGTGTGGGGCTTTTGGGGTTTTGGGCAGTCAGGCTTCAGTTGTGTGGGGCATTTGGGAGTTTTGGGGTGGGTCCATGGGGAGCCGAGGTTGTTTTTGTTTTGTTGGAGGCTTTGACGCGGTTGGCAGGTTAAGTGTACGGTTTGTATGCCTGGGGTCAGGGGCTTGTAGGTTCGTGTCCGGTTTTGGGGGAGGCTTTTTCCGTGGCTAACGGCTACAAACAGGAGCAAAAGTTCAAGCTGGCTATGAACCCGAATCCCTAAAAACCTCACGCTGTCCGAAAACCCTAAACCCTAAACCCTAAACCCTAAACCCTAAACCCAAAGCCCTTTCCTTTCGGCCCCGGAATCCGTCATCATTGCAACAAGGAAGAAGCCTCCATCCTTCTACACCCGCGCAGCTGCGACCTTCCTTCGTGGTACCCGCGACAAGGACACCGGAGAGTTTAGAGTTGGGGTTCAGGGGTTTAGGGTTAGGGTTTAGCTTGCAAGAGTCCTGAATGCAAAAGGGTTAGGGTTTAGGGTTCAGGGGTTTAGGGTTCACCTGACCCCGAAAAGTAAGTAAAAATGGTGGACAAACACCTGTAGAAGGCTACTTTTCTACATACCTATGTGGGGTCCATGCAGGGTTGGGTTGGGATCTTGCAGGCTGAGGTGTTTTGTCGTATATACTTTCTCCTGGCATGTTGCTTGTTTTGTGGGCATGCACGTTGGTGCAATGTGCAGTGACCCTAAACCTTAAACCCTAAACCCCTAAACCCTTAGTCTCGACTGTTGGGAGCGGTTGAAGCTTCGAACGGTGGCCTCGATTGTGGCAGATTTGCCTGTACACTCCATCTGTAGAACGTTACAGGCCGTAAAGTTACGTAGAACCGGCTCCGCAAACACAGGACCTACAGAAGATGCGGAACACGAACAAACCCTAAACCCATCCCTAAAACCTTACCCTAATCCCTAAACTGGACCCTCAAAGAACCCTTTTCGGGAACCCCGTCGTCAGACCAGGATCCTGTAGACGAGCTATGGATCACCGCCTTGGGGAACGCCATCGACTCGGCAATTACCGTGGGAGCGCGGATGGAGAAAGATGCACTGTGCCCGCCGGCTGCAGAAAGGGCAGGAATAGTATTCGCAGTAGTTTGGTGGCAATGGTACTAGAATGTTATCAAACTGGCAACTGGGTCTGTATAAGACTACTATTTGTAGGGGTACTCTGGCTTGTTGGCGAGAAGCTTGCTTCGGGCTTTCGGTGAGAGTTTGTGGGGTTCCTTAGGAATGTTGGCGAGCGTATATTTGGGGTTTGACTACTCGGATAAAAATTGAACTAACAAAGCACTTCGAAATTGCGCTGCTTAACAACAACCCTATAGACCCTAAATGCTTGAACTTGCTTTTCGAAGGTTGTCCGTTTAGGAGTGCAGGGTAGCTTTGAAACTTCGGTGCTGCCATTCTGGCCTTCTGACGTGTGACGTGTCGGAGCTTTCCAAGGCTGTCCCGGTAGGAGTGACAGCGGTTGCATGCAACTGTTGCTGAGTCAGAACAGCAAAGGGCGACCAGCACAGTAAACCCTAGACCCTATAAGCCCTAAACTCCTGAACCCTAAACCCTTAAACCCCAAAGCCCCAAAACCCTAAACCCTAAACCCACAAGCAAATCAAAAAGCGCTTCGTTCTTGCGAAGTCGCGCAACACGCAACACTGCTCTGAAAGATGGCTCAAGGGAGAAGCTTCTCTGAGCCTGGAGCTCCGGTGTATAGGTACCCTTACCCTCAAAGGACTCATATTTATAGGATTTTTGGGCCCAAAGACCCGATTATAAAAGGCTCTTGGGCCCAAAGACCCTATTATATAAGGCTTTTGGGCCCACAGACCCTATTATATAAGTCCTTTGGGCTCTTTTGATGCTCAGGGCTAAGGTTGCAGCTCAGGAGCTGAGATAAAGCTGCGAATCCCGAGTGATGCCACTTCTTCTTCTAGGCTTCAAAGTACAGGGAATTCATGATATCGGTCAGGGTTGGGCTCTGAAGTGGAAAGTGTATTCTACGGTCTTGTCGTGGCTATGCTAGGCATCCCAGATGCTCCTCCGTAAGCTGTGATTGTCATTGGGGGTTGAAGTTAAAGGCACGCGGGACACGGCTGACGAGACCCAGGTACGATCAAAGCCGTGCGCACGAACTACTTGCAGCAACTCTGCTTCGATTCAGGAGCCCTGAACCCTACGCCTAAGGCAGACTCGTTAGAGTCGTGAGATCATGTCAGCCACCGGTGTGTAGCGGGTCATACCTAGGAATGTAGCAGCCAGCCACAGAGTCTAGCCCTCTAGTCTCTTTGCCTTGATTCCCAAGCCTTTGGCCCTATCCGAAACCCTGCTCCAAGAACCCGAGGAAACGTTCCTGAAGCCTAACCCGGCAGAAGTGGAGGACCCTGGTTGCTAGACCCGGACCCTAAACCACAAAGCCTCTACATGCTCTAACTGGCTTAAGACCATAAGCCCTCTTAACCCTAAGTAAACCCTATGCCATCCCAAGCGTCTCAAGGATCGATCGGAGTTTTGCTCCGCAGATTTCGCTTCACCTCGTTCGAATCCCTCCGGTGGCTGTGATGTTGCAGGTGTCGTTTTCAGGGTTTAGGGAGTGTTGAGTGTTGGATTCAGCTTGTGGAATTTAGTGCTAGGCTTTTCTTTTGTTCCTTTGGCTTTGTAGGCCTGTGCTCTGTTGACTGCGGAACACATGCTAGGGTCTAGGTGCGGGGGCTTGAAGGGGTCTTCGGTTGGCTGTAGGTTCCTCATCGCAAGTATACTTTAGCATATGATGCCCGCAACCCATTCTTCTGCCCAGGGCCTCTATATTCGGTTGACTGCCGGCTTGCTGAACCCTAAACCCAGACCCCCGGGGAGGATCCAAAAAGTAGATCCCTTAAGGGGGATTCCAAAAAAGACCCTTTAGTAGTATAGGGTCCCAAATTAGGGGTTCTACTTTCTAGATCTTCCCGGGGGTCTGGCAAGAGATCCCCCTGCCAGGTGGAGATCAAGCCCGAACATGTGGACGAGTTCATCCAGGCCCCTCCTCGCGCGGTTGAGGGAAGTTTAAAGTTGGTGCGAGTGCGGCATATGCGCTTCTTTGTTTTTGACAAGTTCGCGGTGCGTGTGTGTGTGTGTGTGTGTGCGTACCCATGTTCTGAAATTCAAGGGATCTGTGTTCCAAAGGCCGTGTCAAGTGCACGCTGCTCTTGAATAACATAGGGCACCTCATGTTGTATTTTTGAAGCGGTGGGATGAGATGGTGACATCCTGGTTTGGTGACATCCACATCAAAGCCCGAAGCCCCAAACTCTAAAGTCGAGTAGTCGCTGTCTTCGGATGACGGCCAATGAGAAAATAGGAGCCGAAGTCCTTGAAGATGACCAAAGCCCTCAAACGTGCCATCTACGAGTTTCAAGCACTAGCTTAACCGCAAGTAACCTACCTTTTAAGGCATAAAGACATCATAATAAGCAACCCTAGAAAGGTAGGTTCTTTAGGGTCCAGGTAGTTACCACAGCTTCGCTAAGCCCTAGAACCTCAAGCAAACCCTTCAGAAGCCCTGAAACCTCGACCTTAAACCAAACCCTAAACCCCACTCCCCAAGACCCAAGCCCAACACCCAGAGAAGAAACTGAAGCATGCATCGTTTTCTAAACCCTAAACCTCCTAAACAAAACCCTTAACCGCCTTAACCTCTAAGGTTTAGGGTTTAGGGCACTCTAGAAGAAACCAGAAACCCCCGGTTGAGGCCTTCTAAACCCGGAGCCCTAAGCCCTAAGCCCCAAGCCCCGAGCCGAAAAGGTGATGAAAGCAGACGCGAAAGGCAGGCGGAAGCCGTTGCAAAACTGTTGTCAGCTGAAGTCAACGTATCTTTAACCAATTTTATATGAAGGATTTTGTAAGGTATCCTCAAAAAGGCACTACAATGGAGACTAATTAGAGGAAGTCATCGTATCGTTCCCATTGTAGTTCCGTTTTGGGGTTACGTTATGGGATACTACGTATTAAACTGGTCAAACAAAAAGGGAACTACAATGGAGAATACAGGAAGCGCTCCAAACTGATACTGATGGCACGACGGCTTTAGGGCATAAGGTTTTTTGCAACAGCTTCCTTTCGTACTTGCACCTATTCATGAGAATCTCCTTGTCTCGATAGTATGAGAGACAGAAAGGAGTGATTTAACAGGCACTTGTCAAGGACACACCTGGCCTTGGACTGTCGTGCTAAGTCTGTTCTATATTCTATAGTCCCATCGGTGGAGTTGTCGGCAATGTTTCGTGTCTTAACATTGCATTATATATACATGACACTTGACTCGCATCATGTCTGCCTGCTGTCATTACTGGCATACAGCGGCTCGGCTAGGTCGTGTGCATCGGAAATCAGAGTATACTCGGGTTACTCATTGATCTGTGGTTGTATCATTTCACATTGGACGGGTTCGGCCTTCTCAATCCCTAAACCCTAAACCCTAAGGCCCTAATCCCTAATCCCAAAACCCTAAACCCTAAACCCCTCAAAAATACCAAGGAGAGGCCTTCCCTGAAATATCAGACCCAGAGTTCTTGGCATGCCGTAACTCGTTCAGCAGAACTGGTTCGATGGTTAGGGTTTAGGGTTTAGAGTTTAGGGTTTAGGGTTTAGGGTTTCGGGTATAGGGTTTAGGGTTTAGGGGTTTAGGGTTTAGGGTTTAGGGTATAACAGGTTCGATGGTTAGTTGTCGCTACCCATAGGCCCTAAAGTAGTTCCTTTTTGGGGTTCATATATAGCATCCTACAAGGTAACCCCCAAAAAGGAACTACTATGGTGCCTATGGGTAGTTGTCGCTAGATGGTCTTGCTGCCCAAACAGGCACGGGTTCTGCACCCTGAACCCGGCAAGGCTCGCGCCAGGAGGAAGGCTGCCTGCGTTTCGACTTCCTTCGTGACTTGCTTCGCATTTCTTGAAGCGGTTTAGGGTTTAGGTTTAGGGGTTTAGGGTTTAGGGTTTAGGGGTTACATGGTTTTGAGGGCTTCAGGGAGGTTTAGGGGTCTAGGGGGCTTGAAGCCGCAAACTTGTGCCGTAAGTACGCCTCAATGCCCTCAGGTCTTGTTGGTAATAACTTCAAGCTCTGGAATTTCTACCAATCCTGGACCAAGCTTTTAAGCAAGGCCCTTCGGATGTAATATAGGGGCTTAAATATTATTTATAGTATTGCGAGGCTCCTTATTACAATGATAGTAGAACATGCCCCAAAACCCTATTCTAATTGTTATGGCCCCTACAGTAACCTTGAGACGCGCTCGAGTTCTCCGGTTCCGATCTAAGTAGCGACCTCCGACCACCCTGAAACTGGCGGCCTTGGGGGAGGGTTCAGCTTTCGCTGTGTTGCTTATAAGTTACTTACAAAGTTTAGGGTTTAGGGTACAGGGTTTCTAGAGGCACTTCAGAGAGACCTCGTTCAAAAAGGGTACAGGGTTTAGGATGTAGGGTTTATAGGGTTTAGTGAAAGGGTTCTATCAGGGGGTCTACAAGGCCTCTAGCGGGTTCTAGCATTCATGGACGAGTGAGGGCCTCAGGCTTTGGGATCCTGCAGCTCACACTTAGGTAGTTGTCAAAATTATGGTCCCTTTTGGGGTACCCTAAATAATAGGTGCCGTATTATAATAAGGACCCAACAAGGGACCATAATTTTGACAACCACCCACTTCGGAAACTTAGAGGGGTCCCGAGTCCTTCGAGACTTTGGGATTCTAGAAGCCACTTCCTGCTGAGAGGTATGGAGGTCAGGGGTTTAAGAGGGTTTTAGGGTGCTGTTGCAAGCCCTGAAAAAGCCTGATTGAGGACTGAAATCACACCACCATCCGCAAGCATACGCCCGACATGTTGAAACACATAAGCCCGCAAAGCCGTAACACGACCCGAACCCATAGATAGGGTTAGGGTTTAGGATCCCAAGACCCATAGCCCTAAACCGCGGCTTGTCCCAGAGCGAGTGCTGAAACCGTCCTAAACTCTTAGCCGATCGGAAAGTTCACTGGTAGCCCAGGTCATGTCGACAACCCTTGCAAGTTCATGACATACGAGGCAAAGTCGGAATCAGGCTGTTAATGCGGTTCGGGCTTCGTAAGGGATCCAAACCCTATATACGTAAACATATAGTTTTATGTATGACATCATACGATATACTTATGTATATATATATATATATATGTGTGTGTGTGTGTGTGTATGTGTATATATATATATATGTGTGTGTATATATATGTATGTATACGTAGATATATAATCTGGAATCAGATTGAGGGGCGAGGGCTTTGGCGTTTTCGGGTGTGGCTTTCCCGGTTGATGCGAGCGTGCGCAAGCTCTGCCCCGCTAAGGGCGTTGTGCTTTCGGAGTGCATGCTTCGGTCGCATAGCAGGCTCGAAGCATATGGTGTTCCTGTACTGTGTCGTGTTTTCCGCAGTGTCTTGCATGCATCTATAGGCCCTAAGCCCTAAACCCTAAACCCTAGCTAAGGTCATACGGCATGGCTTTAGTTTCGGTGGTGTGTAGCAAGTGACCCGGAGGGTTCATGGCTGCATCGGGAGCTCAACACTTCGAAGCCTTCTATGCCTGCTAAGAACCGTCCCATATTTATACCCTATAAATCCTATTCCTGAACCTTATAAGCATGTAGAATAGCGCCTTGTAATAGGTGTTGGGACATTTTTTACCTATTGGGGAAGCCCTAGAAGCCCTGAATCCGGCATGCCATGTGGTGCCAGGTCTTTGCGAACGCTGCGGCCGTAACTGCACACGGCGCAATGCCGTATGTACCTCGCCTGTACAGCCGAGGCGGTTTAGGGCAAGAACATGTTTACAGTCTGGGGTCTGGGGTTGAGTCATCATTGAGGGCTCATGTGGTCTCCACAACGGTGCCAACAGATCCTTGGATCCTAATTATACCTTGTAGACCCGAGGCGAGAGAGCGATGAAGTCTTGTGAGATTCTGCTGAGGTGAAAGCGTGGGGCGCTTTCCAGTACGGTGACAAGAAGCCGGTGGTTCTTCGACAGCAAGCCCTCAGCATCGACCGCAGTGTGCGGTTTCCTTTTTCCGTCAATGCCTGGTAGATTTCGCAGTCTGCTTCGTGAGGATCTTGTGAGAAAGAAGTCAAGCTCCAAAGCTGTTTTTGTCCTACGCCACTAACAAGCCCTTCGGAAGGTCAGCCCAGACAATTTAAACCTTAAACCTTACACCAGACAGCCCTTGGGAAGAGCCTAGACCCCTAAACTCTCTAAACCCTACCTGGACCCTGAAGAAACCACTTTTTGAAGGTTTCTTATTATGACTTCATTATATAAGTCCTTAAAAAGGTAGGTGATTTGGGTTAAGGTAAACCCTAAGACCTATACCAGACGGCCCTTGGGAAGGTCAGTAAGACGGTCCTACGAGCTGATGCTCTCAGCTTCCAAATGCAGAGCCCCTCTCCAGCCGCTGCATGGCTGCGAGTTTAGGATGTATAAAGTTTGGTACGGCTTGGATCCTTGAGTTTGCCGTGTATAAACTGCATGTTTGTTTGTTGCAAGGTTGGCTTGTTGGAGTGTAGGATGTATAGAGACGGCTTTTGTAAGATTGGCTTGTTTCCTTTATGGCAATGGCCGCAAGACGGCTCGAACAGTGTGCCGAGGGCGCCTTGTCTCCTTCAGCCTTCAACATCGCGGATTGAAGTGTTAAGGGAACTCGTGTCGAGGGGTTTAGGAGTGAGGCCCGGATGCAGATACAACTGGTCTGTTTGTTGCGAGGATTTGTTTGGCTCTTTCAAATTATAGTACTTTCAAAAGTATCCGAAAGAAGCGCAAAGCCTCAATAGTCACATCACCTCGCTTGGGTGCAGTTTCCAGTTGCCTCGTGATGGTAGACTACAGTTGCCTCTCATGTGCCCTGTCTGTTGTGCCATGTGATATCTTGACAGAGTATCTAGAGGTTTCGAGTCTGCGTGCCAGACCCTCAGCCATAATTAGGCCGTAAAGCCGAAGCCGCCAGCCCCAAACATTTTATTGCGCCGGACTTCAGGACAATCCAGTGGTCGTTGTCTTCGAGGCTTCCGGCGTTTTCCGCAAAACGCGCTTACGTCTTGATATAGCGACTTCATTCACAACATGAGTCAGGTCTCGCTGGGCCGGTCGCGACAATTATGATAGCCCCCTGAGGCCTAAACCCAAAACCCAAAATTTCGAGCTCGGTGGCACCACAGTTTCCGGAAACCCTAGCTCTGGCGGTTTATCCTGGAAGTCTAGGGGCTCAGCGCCGACAGATATCTGCACATGTGTAATTATATTTTTCTTTTACATGCGTAGTTGATTACATGTTTATATGCAAGTATGCAAGTTCATTACATTCACTACCTTACACCCCATTGTAGCTACACTGCAGTACGTTGCGTTACTTTACATTGCGGAATAAATGCAAACTTGGTAACATACGTACACATAACATATGGCCACTTGGACTCCGGCAAAGTGCCAACTGGTCCTACAAACTTCGGATGGCCTTGCAGTGTCCCCAATTTGCAGCCCATGGGAGTCGCAGCAAAGTTGAAGTGCCACAGTAGAGGCCCTAGCTTGGATTGGACATCTCCCTGCAATTTTCAACCGGCCAACTTGGAACAGCCTGCCTTCTCTAAACCTGGAGCCAGAAAGCGCCACTTCGAGCTAGCACCCTAAAGCCTCCTGTGGACCCAAAGACTTGTTGATTTGAGGGTCAGGCCCTGCCTATAGTCTCCTTTGTAGTTCCTGTTTGGGGATACCTTATAATAATATCCTTAGTATATAAGTGGTTAAACCAACAAAAAGAGGAACTACAATGGAGACTATAGGTGTAATCAAGCTTATAGGGGCCCTGTGCTCTGATAGCATCTGCTTTGAGGCCGATGTGAAGGAACCCTAAGCCTTAAACCCTAAACCCAGAGGCCGATGTGAAGGATGAATGCGTGACCGACTTCGTCGAGGCCGCAACTTTAGCGGGTGAGCGCGAGGCTGAAACCTGACCCTGAACCGCGGGTTTAGGGTTTAGGGTTTAGGGTTTACGATTTAGGGTTTAGTAAGTTTGAAAGTCACAGGAAATACAGGGACGCCAATCTAGAGGCTGCCATAAACAGTACGACGACCAGGTTTTCCTTGCAAAAACCTCGAAGTCTTGAAACCCCAAACCCAGATCCTTAAACACGAAATCCTGCCTACACCCATAAACCGTAAAGCCAGCAAATCCGAAACCATACTTAACCCCAAACCCATGTCCTTAAACCCGAAATCCTGCACCCAAAGCCGAAGAACGCCGACCAGCAAACTCGAAGCCTTGAAATCCCACGCTCTCCTCCACCTGCCCCTCGAACTTATAGTAGGGTTATAACTAAGGTAACTATACTTATACTTATTTTTACTCATACCCCCCATTAAGGGACTTATAACTTATAAGTTATAAGTTATAAGTCTCTTAATTGGGGTTATAAGTTACTTAAAACCTTACTTACGAAGATCCCCCGGACCCTGCAGGTTATGACGGCGAACGCCCGCGGCTCCCGCTCCGAGGAGATCCAGACAGGGCGTTGGTTTTGGGGTTTAAAGTTTCTGGGTTGTCTTTTGGGTTTAGGTTTTAGGGTTTAAGGCTTTATGGCCTAGGGTTTTAGGGTTTAGGGTTTAAAGTTTCTGGGTTGTCTTTTGGGATCTTTTTTAATTTCCCTACTATTTTGTAGAGAACCATGATAGTAAATAATTTTCAAAGGGCTTAAAGGACAACTTGGGTTTTTGGTTTTAAGGTCTAGTGATTATGCTTTTGGTTATAGTAATAGGGTCTAGTGGCTTTTGTTTCGGGTTTGAGGCTGAAGTTTCAGGGTGTGGGCTTTACGGCTTAGGGTTTGAGGTTCAGGGTGTAGCAGGTTTGTGGGCAGTTCTCTAAACGTTGAGGGTTTTCCTGTAGTTCCTTTGCTGGTACCTGAAACTGCTGATGTTATAAATCCTTCGTTACCTTAAGGACCCTAAACTATGGGAATTCTGCTATACTCCTTATTATGGGTTATGCAGGTTTTATAGCAGCAGGTTTTATATCATTAACCGTGGTTAGGTTGGTAAACAAAAAGTACACCAGAGTCCCCCTCTCTAGTCCAGGTAGGATCTTATTAGTCTCTTGTCAAAGTCCTTTTTCGTGCAATATAGGGGCCATACTATTTTGGGGGAACCTTATTATAATTTTCCTATGAAGGACCCCAAAACCGTACTCTAATTTTAAAGGCCACTGCGGTAATTCTCAGAGAGTGTTATTGTTGTATCGAAGTGGTTTGGATACGTACTAGAGAGGCCAGGCCTTACTCCACGCATGTACAGTTGATGAGATACTTTCCTTATTACGGTGACTCAAAAATTTATAGGCAATACACGGTGCCTTTTTTCTGGAGTTAATTCAAGGTCGATGCCAGAGAAGTTAGCCAACATTCCCGTATCGTCCCATTAGTGACGGTATAGTATACGCCCGCAAAACCTTGTTCGAATTACTCAGGCCCCTCTATTATGCCTTGTACTTGCAGCGAGTCGATAGTTTCCAGCATCGGTGGTTCTTCCTCCAAGCAGAAGTCCATTTGCCTGGACAAACGGAACTTGTGGGGATCATGGTCTTGTTTCACGGTTTGAATACCTATATAAATTCGATACCCTAGACCCTCACACTTGGATTTTGGATGGGATCGGCTAAGCATCTGAAGCTGCCGCTGGCCTCCATCATTCCAACGCAGCCTACCGGCACAGCCTACACACCCAGAACTCGGAATAGAAACCCACTTACCACCCAAGGCCCGCACTCCCGACCAACCCTAAACCCTGAACCCAGAACAATGTTTCAACTAAAGCAGTGAGTGTGAGAAGCTGTGCGAGGCGGGATGCCTTCGTTTCGACTTGCTTCGTGGCCAGGACGCTTTCAGCCTTTCATTTCAGTGCAATTTACACCGTACGCGTCGACTGCTTCATGTAGAACAGCCCGCACAGTATCTAGCAGAGTATAAGTCCTAAACATATCTTAAGGTTGAAACCTTGAACAGGTGTCCAAACCTTGTCTGCTGTTGTGTTTGTATGTTTGGACTCCTGGGCTCGCACAGCCCATGGGTTTGTGCAGCAGTGGTTGAGGACGAGTTCTGTGCCGAATCATCGCGAGCTATGTTTACGCTGCCAAACGGTGACGGTCTGTCTTTCAGATGTCCATGGCGGGTGTTCATCGGAATGTCTTTCGCTTGCAAGGAGGGCAACCGTGGCCGCTTCGTAAGCTACGAGGCCCAGAACCGGTGTTTGAGGCTGAACAGTGAACTCAATTACGGGGTTTCGGAGCTTTCTCGGTTAGACTCAGGAACAAAGCAGACCCCTAAACCCTAAACCCTAAACCCTACGGTTGAATCGGGTTGTAGGCTGGACCCGAAGGTGCCTTGGTTGTCCTCAAGGTACGGCTCCGTGAAGTCGGACCTAACTGTGATAGTTGTCCGAATGCTCGCGGCTTCTTAGGGTTGAGGAATTCGGGTTTAGGGTGTAGGGTTGTTGCGACGGGCACGCCGGATGCAGGACGACATGCTCAAAAACAATTTGGGTGTTGACACGCACCACGACGTCTCTGTAAGTTTTTGGGCCTGCTGCTGCCGTGTGGATGCATTATCATTATCAGTTTTCCAGACTGTGAATCCTTGGCCCGTCTGGCATGGACTCCCCAAACATACGTATGGGTTGTTGTCAAAGCTACGGGACCATGATTTCGAGAGTTGCCTATATATCTCCGGCTCCAAACAACCTGGAATAACAAGCGAGGTCATCCATTTGTGAAGCTGCTGCCCTGAAAATGCCCACGGCCCTTACCTGCACCCATACCAAAACTACTTTCTGTAGGGTCCCTAGAACTCCAAACTAGGGCTTCGGGATGCTGGGACTATTTGAACCTACAAAGAGGCAGCTCTTAGTAGGTTAAGGCAACACGTCAGGTCTTTGAGTCTGCAGATGCCATTGAGAAGCACAAGGAGATGCCCTACACAAAAGCTTGGGGGGCCTTCCAATATGGGGACATTTGGCCGCATTGTCGTTTTGAGAGTGCCCATAGTGAGAGCTTGCTTTTTGAGCGTTCGGAGGTGGTGCGCAAGCTACAGTAATTTCTAGGTTTCTTACAGGGTCAGCAGTGACAACTGTTGATAACTTCAAGCCCCGCCCTGTTCGGATTCAGAAGAAGGGTTGAAATGGACTCCAAACGACACCTACACCTTAGACCTTGACTTAGCCAGGCGACTGACAATCAATCCTAACTAAAACCCTAAACCCTAAACCAACAGACGTCGGGTTTTACACAGGTATTGATAGTCCACAGTGCCCACTGATTCTGTACTAGGGTCAAGGACAGAAGGTGGTGTTGTAGGTTATCGTATGTTGGAGAGTATGTGATCTTGATACTTTTTGCAGGTTACTTTGGCCCCAAGGCGTGGGGAATGTTCCAGCATGGTATTATTATTTTAGGGAACCCTAAACCAAACCCTAAACCCACAAGGGGTACAAGTTTTGCAAACTTTCAGGTGTTGAAACCCCACCCTGTCGGCCGAAACCCGCCGAAACGGGACGAACCCCTTGCAACTATCAGATATTCTGGGTTGTCTTTTGGGATCTTTTTTTTAACTTCCCTTATTATTTTGTAGAGAACTATGATAGTACATAATTTTCAAAGGGCTTAAAGGACAACTCAGGTATTATCCCGGAGACTGAGCATGGAGCATGTAGGGTTTAGGGTTTAGGGGCAGGAGGGATATCAAAAAAGGGCTTATACTAATTTGCAAGGGTTTGGGGTTTAGGGTTTATGCAATCGATCATGCGGGGTTTAGAGTTTAGGGTTGCAAAGGCCTAATTCCAACATTCCAACACCCTTAAACCATAGACATATTAGTCCAGAGAGCCCAATACCCCAAAACCCTTCAAAACCTGAACCTTACCTGTAGTCTCCATTGTAGTTCCTTTTTTTGGTTTATTTAACCAATTTTATTGTTAGGATCCTAAAAGGTAACCCCAAAAAAGGAACTACAATGGAGACTCTAGGCAAAAACCGATAGAAGCCAACCCGGAGGAACCGCACGGGCCCTGCAGGGTCGACGTGTTTTCGAAGTAGGGCCGTTTAGGGTTTAGGGTTTAGCTAAAATGAGAAACGCCTTTTTTTATGAGAATCTTTATATGCGCACATATACACAATAACGGTCCGTGTATCAATATATATATATATATAACATATGTATATGTATAGACATATATATATATATATGTATGTTTCTCCCACTGGTAGGATCCTTGGTCCAAGGACACCTCAACAGAACAGCCTCGTATTAAGTGCTCTCTTGTAAGGCCATAGAAAGACTGTAATGCTCATAAATACAGAGCCCAAATCAAAACATCGCTCGGGTTGAAACTGAGGACAAGCAGCCCTTGGCAAGCAAGACGGTCACGAAGTACACGGTTTTGGATCTCCAAGCACCCGAGTTGCTGACTTGATGCGGCCGTAGTCGGCGTGGGATCTGCGAGGCTTTAAGCTTCACCTAACCCGAACGAGTTCCAATGCATACTCGTACGAGAAACACAGAAGCATGAATAATTCGAAATACTGTTCTCCATACAAATATGTATGCCTCCCAAAGCCTTATTCCATTACACCTGGAGTATAGAACCCCACCCTTTTCCAGGAGCCCTATTCCAATGGTTCAGGCCCCTTTAGTGAGCCTCGCATGCGTTTCAAGGCATCGGGCCGCCATCTGGGAGTTTCCGAAAATAGGGGTACCTTATTTTGGGGTTCCTTATAATAAGGGTCCTACTATTTAGGGTACTATATTAGGGTCCCCTATTTTCGGAAACTCCCATCTGGTTTGTGAGGTCAAACACGGGCCTTGATAATTTGAATAGTGTTCGCGGGTATGTTCTGTAGGGACTGCAAGGGGATACATCTACCTTGAGAAATAGAACCGGGTTTGGGGTAATCCATGCCAAAACTGCAGGGGGATGTTATATCCAAAGTTTTACAAGTTATTCGGGCCTTATCGTAGGTGTGGTATTGGAGTATAGCAGGCTGTAAGACACGGCTCGGCTCGATTCGCAGAGCAGAGAAAAATTCCGGCGTTGTTCTGTGTTTCATGAATCTGTGTCATTGCCTTGAATCCTGAAACCTGGTGCAGCTCTGAGCCACGAACCACTAAACACCGAAGGGAAACCCTAAACCCTAAACACCGAAGCAGCTTTGACATCCCAAAGATCAACCCCTGCGTGTGCGTGTGTGTGTGTGTGCCGAAACCGCTCCGTCCGGCTCACACCAAAATCCTGAACAAAGATCATTAAGGCCGCTACAGTAGGTTTGGCTGTTAAGGATTCTTGGTTTACAGTTCGAAAAAATACGATGCAGACCGTACTTGAGCCCTAAATCGAATTTTAATCCCAAGCCGCGGCTACAAATTCAATTCATTCGCTTGGACATCAGAAACACTGTTGCTTCCTCAAACAGCCTAAGCTTTAGCCCTATACCCCAAGCCCCAAACCCTAAACCCTGAAGAGGGAGAATATACCAAGCCCAAACCCATAATCTCAGATGTAACCTGACTACCGAAACTTGGAGCGCTGCGAGCCGGACGGGGCCAAAGTTGGTCCCGCCATAGCCAAAGAACCCAACTCCTCATTTCTATAATATATGAGCCCATAGGTATTTTGTGGTTCAAGTTTTAGGAGGGTTCCTTTACCGGTTCTACAAGGGTTTTTTGGCTATTTGGGCCACAAGACGGGAAGGACATTCTGCTTTCAGGGTTAGGATTGGAGTAGCCCTGGCCAGTGCATATCCTACTCCTGTACGTTTTTGTCCGAAACTCACCCAGCCGCACGAAGAATTAAGACCCAATGCCGGAATTTCCTGCAGCCGCCACATTTAATTCACAAAATGATGGGCCCTAAAACAGACCCTTGCATTGTATCTAAGCTCCTTCTGATATTCAGAAGGCCACCATTGAACACCCTTGCAGAAACCACTGCATTCGTTTCAGCCCTTCCTAAACACCTTCCGATCATTACAGCCCCCATTGAAAATGAAGCAAGCCAGTGGAACCGCACAGTTCTCATCCTGACACTAAACACAATCTAAAGCCTAAATCCCTCAACCCTAAATCATCCGCCTCGCCTGGATTGTCCGAGTGTGAGAGCCGAAACACTTCTGGATCCCTTCACTTAGACTTAGACCCGAAAAGGCTCCTTCCGTGTCAAAAAACCTACCAGCCTTCCTGGTGCAGTAGCGGAGAGCTCCTCCTCCTGGGCGGCGATGAGGGCGGCATCCCCCCAGCGGTGAGCCTTCTGAAAAGCCCCACGGCGATAAAGGATCTACGAGGGTTAATACGGTTTAGGGCTTTTAGGGTTTAGGGTTTAGGGATAGCCCGGGTGTAGAAGGGTTTCGGGTTTAATTACCAAAATTACATGATAGGGTCATCGATGGGACCTGGTATTGCCTTTCAATGACTTAAACAAGGCCGCTGCAAATAGTGCTTCATGGTAGTACAGTATAAACACATTACTTCACCAGAAGGCATAGAATATCGAAGTGGTGGTTACAGCATATTATCTAGAAGGAATAGAATATGGAAATAGTGTTTACAGTATATAAACCACAAGAAATAAAAGATCGAAGTCGTTTTCCCCTTGTGAAACTTCCAAGAACAGCCGGGACCAAGCTTGTGCTGAGTAGTGCAGTAGCTCCTTCCCATCATTCAGCAATTTTAGCACAGAATTACGCAGAAAGCCCTTGCCAAATTTGTTACAAACCGCTTAGAATGTTCATACAGAAAGCCATGTAGACAAAAACCGATGCGATTTTCGGGCGCCCTGCCCTGGGTTCGCATCTCGCTCTACTTGGGGGTTTCCGATTTTCGGAAACCCCAAACCCCTGTTCAGCTAAAGCCCAGGCCAGGAAAGGCCCCGGGACCGGAGTCGCCTCTGAAGCGTAGGGACTCATGGCCGAGGGGCCTCTGAGGACGTAGTGATTACCTATAGTCTCCATTGTAGTTCCTTTTTTGGGTTTAACCAGTTCTATATTTAGGACCCTATAAGGTAACCCCCAAAAAGGAACTACAATGGAGACTATAAGGAAAGTTTCTTTAAAGTCCAAGGCTAAAGGGCAGTATCATACTTGAGGGATCTTTAAGGATGTAGTGATTAGAGTTTCTTTAAAGTTACAGGCTGAAGGGCACTATTCTATGAAGGATCTACAAAGTTTGGCGTGTAAAGTTACAGGCTAAATGGCAGTCTTATACTTGAGGGATCTACAAAGTTTAGTGTTTAGAGTTTCCTTGAAGTTAAAGGCTAAAGGGCGCTATTATATGAGAGATCTACGAGGTTTAGTGTTTAGAGTTTCTTTATAGTTAAAGGCTAAAGGGCACTACTATATGAATATGCGGGATCTACAAGGTTTAGGGTTTGGGCTTTAGGACTGGGATAGCGTGACGTCATCATTGAGCAGATTTTCTAAGCTCGACGAGACTCCAAAATAGCCCCCGCTCCTCTCCAAGTGCTGCTAACTAAGCCCCGGCATCTTCAAACCATACAAGCGCACTTAAACCCGAAATCTGCACAACCACGACGACGACTATAGTACTACTACTACTACTACTACTACTACTACTACTACTACTACTTCCCTAGAAGGACTCGGGAGCCCCGCAACCAACGCCCGAAGCCCGGGATGCAGTTGAGGCGACGTGTGGCGCAGCCCAGATGGCGAAACTTGGGTCCGGATCCCTACCCGGGGTTTTGGCAGAAGAGGGCTAGACTATATCGGAACCGTACATTTGTACATATATATATATATATATATATGCATTATACACACACACACACACGCGTATTATATATATATATATATATAATGTCGGTCGGTCGGTCGGTCGGTCTGTCCTGTCTGTCTGTCCGCCTGTCTGTATGTATGTATGTGTCTAATTATGTGTCTGTGTGTCTAATGGGTTGTGTATAGCAGCTTATGTATCATAAGGTGTATTGTAGAGTCGTACGTGGTGTCTTATCGGGTCTTGTATCGTTGTTAAAGGGTTTTATGGGTCCCTTTTGGGGGTCTTATGGGTTGAATAAGGGTGAGCTGTTCATGCAGGGATTGTGCCATTGCCGGCACTTTTGAAGGGTTTACGATGTGTTCTGGCCCTTCCTGATTTCCATGATTTCATTTTCGCTATACCCTAGACTCTATTTTATTTGCACCATGCCTGTCAAGGTCTTGCAGACCGGGGCCGCGCCGTGGTCTGCTCGGAAGTACTTCGGCGCCGGGTGCTCGCATACTACTTCAGGGTCCGTTTTAAGTTTTAAGGGACCCTAAACCCTAAACCGGTCTTGGTAGGCTTCAGGCGTGTGGTGTTCAAAGTCCCAGGGTTTAGTGTGGGGTTCCGGATTGGGAGTTCAGACTTCAGGGTGCGGGCTTTGGAGTTCTATAGAGACTATGGCAGCCTTCCCAGGTAGTATAGGGGCCTTAATAGTTAGAATAGGGTTTGGGGGGTATCTTATACTATAACTACAATAGGGAGCCCCAAAACCCCATTCTAATCATTAAGGCCCCTACATTAGTAAGATGATCTGTTTTTTTGTTTCGCTGAGATGCTGGCGTTACCCCTGTCTTCTGATATACTTGTCAGATACAGGTCATAGCATATGCCAGGGATCCCAAGGCATTTTGCAGGTCTCCTAAACCCTAAACCCTAAACCCTAAACCCTAAACCCAGGTCCCAGAGTCCCAAAGTGTCTGACAGTGCGCATGCAATCCAGGGCTGTAGTCAGGGCAGTTGCAGGGTTTCAGTTCTGAAGAAATCCTAAGCCCTACCTGGACCCTAAAGAACCCACGCTTTTAAGGGTTCCTTACTATGATTTCTTTCCATAAATCTTTAAAAGGTAGGTTATTTGGGGTTAAGGGTAGCCCTAAACCCTAAACCCCAAGAAGGAGGCAAAAGTATCTTGAAGAAGTCGTGACCTTCGTGAAATTTGGCTTTAGGATCCTAGTCCTAGACATCGAGTTATCCAGAAAAGGATGCTGCAATCCAGGGTCCAGGTAGAGGTTTGTAGGGATTCGGTAGGGCTTCCAGACCCCGAAGGGTCTAGTGCTTACACGTCTCGGGCTTCTATGCGCTGAAATACCGAGGTTAGGATTCGCAGAGTCGTTGTAGATGCAGTCTTGGGCTTTGTTAGGGTGTAGCAGGGGGACTTGGGAGGTATTTAGCGGATTATGGCGTCTGTGATACAAGTTCTGGCCATTCTAGCGTGTGGTGGTATAGTGCCCGGATGCACATAACTCCTAAACTCTTAAACCCTAAACCCCGAAGCCGTAAACAAAAAACCCTTAAGCCCTAAACCCAAAGCCCTAAACCCTAAACCCCTAGACCCCTAAACCCCAAACCCCGAAGCCCTAAACCCTAGCATATGTGGAGCCTTCTTGCTTTCGACGGACTTCGGCCCGCAGGAGTGGCCGCAAATCA